CTGTAGGAAGCAGGAGAATGGATGTTTGCTACAAAAACGATGTATTTGTGTCCCATTGAGACCTTCTCATAATATTAAAAATGTGATGTCTCATTATAAAATCTCGGTGGGAACAAATCTATTAAAGTGGGACAGATGGAGAGCAATTTAAAGTGTTAGAGGCGCCTCTGTCCTATCCTTTATTAGCTATAAAAATGGAGCGTGATATGTGGAACTCCACAGGCTGATGGATTTGCAGTATCGCAGGAGATGAACATTTGGGGACATATAATGTCAAAATCTATCATTAATGGCACCTGAACGAACAGTGAAAAACAAGCATACAGGTGCACAGACACCCACGACAGCTCGAGTGTCCTTGAATGCACAGCTTTGCTTCACAAGATGCTTATTTTGCCCTTAGCGCCACACGCTACTCAAAACATGCAATAAAACCACTCTTAGGGGACCCACAAATACCTGACACAAAAACACGTCTGTGGTGCAGACAGATAGTGAGGGAGAAGTTCCTTCTTGCTTGCTGAGAGAACACAAGTGTCCAAATCAACCAACCAACCAACTCCCCCAAATCCCGACAAGGTGGGGTCGAGCAGGAAATTATGTCACAGACACAGCAGCAGATCTCCAGACACTGATAAGGTTGCTCCTCCTGGGAAAGTGAAACAAGTGAGAGACAGATTGCTTCTTTGTCTTTCTCCTTCCTCTTTTCATCTTGTCCCATCAAGACAGGAGCGATTACAAGAGGAGACTATTGAGACACTGTTTACTGAGACAGAACACTCATATTAATGTCGCTGAGACATGCTTTGGGTATTTGGGTGTGCTCCAAAAAGCAGGATGCAGTCTGCTGAAAAGTAGCTTTTCCCTTGTGTTAAATCAAAACAACATGTGACATAAAGTTAACGAATTTGGAGAGCAAATGAAGTCAGGTAATTGATTCAAGGACCGAGGCTTGGGGTAGATTGCTGAGGGGAGAGTGGCTGCTTTTCTATTCTTTAATGATGATATTAGTGGGTATACTCAGTGTGAGTCATGCTTTATAGACTGAAGACTGTGCTGCAGTGTCTGAGTGTTCATGGGAGGTTATGTGGGCAACTGCTGGTTTGAAGTAAATCACTGCTGGGGTTCTGCTCACTTGCCTCAGGGATCTCCAGCTCACTAGCAAGGAATTACACACACTGGGAAGAAGTGGTGAGGGAGCACTGAGAGCCTCGTCCTGCTGTGTTTGTGTATATAAATGTGTGTATGTCTATATTTAAGAAATTGCAGCACATGTGTATGTTTATACGGTTGCTTAATGAACCTGTGTGGGTGTGTGCTCCAGACTTCCCGACAGCATTATCTCAGGAAGTCTGACAGTCTATCTTTGTGTATCTTTGTGTATATTTCTCTGTCTAGTTTTGTCTGGTCCACTGTGTGTGTGTATATATATGTGTGTGTGATATGGATACGCTATGATGGCCGTCGTATTTGCTGACTCATAAAAGCACTGAGCAAACCCACCCCCACTCCACCACTGGTGTTTGGACAGCCCATCTGGTTTTCATGAAGGAAGAGGAGTACGAAATCAGCATCAATCTGCTGCGGTCTGCTTTCATCCTGATGAAGAAATGACTGATTTTTCTGATTTTGTTTTAAACAGCATTTCACTACTAACAAATCAACAATGACTGCATCAAAGTATTGACTTTGGTGACAATACAGTTGCTCTTAGCAGCATGGAGCATTTTAGCTTTTAGCTCAGTGTTGCTTGCTTTATAGTCTGCAACTTTTCCCAGGTAGTCAGCTGAATCTGGCTGACTGAGACTCAGTGTTTGCATGCTCAGTGGCTCGCCAAAATTAGGCTGACTCAAGCCAAGCAATGGTTGCCAGATTTGGATAGTTGTTGTGTTTAGACAAGTTTGGACTGACGGTTGGCACATTTAGCTGAATTTGGAGCTATTGTTGTTCTACTGTGGCAACCTAAAAGCAAGAAACATACAGACAGACTTCACTTTAAGCACACAGACTCTAACCAGTTTACTGAGGGCAATTTTGGGTCACCATTCATTCCACGCAAGTTTGTTTTCTTGCTCCCTGCTAGGTTTGGGCCTTTATGAGCCCAGAAAAGCATAACATTATATTTTGAAAGATTGAATGGTGATACAAATCTCACAAATCTTACAAATATTGAGCAATCTTAAGCTACCAGCTTGGATCATAGGTAGTATTATTTGACATTATTTAAATAAAGTTAAATAGTAGCATTATTTATAGATTATTTAACTATGTTATCTAAAACACAAAGTTGTAGTCAGATGTTTACTTACACTCATCATGGGCATGAATACCATGATAATATGGAGCATTTAAACATTTCTTTGAGCTGTTAGCAAACATCTTTAATGACTTTAAAAAACAAGAATTGGGTGCAGATTTTTATTTATTTATATTGGATTCTGTCTGATCTACACAGGGTCATAATTATACATAAAGGCTCAAATACATATGCCTACAGCCACTTGTTGTACTAAAGGTTTTAACATTTTACGACTAAACCCTATTAAGTATTTGTCAGTGATCATCACTGACTACAACCGGTAGTCTGTCTTTGCTGGCATAAAAAGGCAGCACTTATCGGATTGGGAAAGTCAAGGACCACAGTGAATATTTAAGGAGGATTGTAGATTTACGCAAGTTAGGAAGCCATTTCTAAATGACTTCAGATTCCAAAATCATTAGTTCAAACAACTGTGCGCAAGTGCACGGTATTCAGATGTGGCAGTACCTCGCTGAGGTCGGGAAGAAAACTCAAACTCTTATCCTCAGATAAAAGGAAACTGGTTAGGATGTTTAGAAACAACTCAGGAACCACCAAGGCTCAAAGCCAGCCATCAACTAGAAAGTGTTGTGACACCAGCGTCACTTTCTATAGTGAAACAAGTTCTACGTAGGTATGTACTGAGACGTGTCGGCCAAGAAAGAAGCCCTTGCTTCGAAATGGACACCTTTGGGCTTGACTGAACTTTCCTCACGTGGACAAGCCAAATACCTTCTGGAAAAACGTTTTATGGTCAGATGAGACAAACACTGAGCTATTTGACCACAGTGACAAGAGATATCTTTGGAGGATTATAGGTGAGACTTTCAGTCCTAAGAACACTGTACCATGGTAAATGGACTGGTTCTCTACACAACATGCCTCATACACCCATTCACACACGCACACAGCATCTTCGGTTTAGTGTCTTGCTCAAGGATATTTGGCATGCAGACTGGAGTAGACAGGGATCAAACCACCAACCTTTCAATTAGTAGGTGATCTGCTCTACACACCATCTGCCAAGCATGGTGGTGGTAGCATCATGGTCTGGGGCTGTTTTGTTACCACTGGTACTGGCACACTGCACAAAGTGGATAGTGAAGAAGGATACTACCTTCAAACTCCTCAACTTCACCTCAAACGAACTAGATAGTTGAATCTTGGACACAAATGAGTGTTACAGCAGGATAATGATCCCGAGCACACATCAAACCTGGTTTTGGAAACGATAAAGCAGGCTAACAAAAAGCTTCTGGAAAGGTCTATCCAAAGACTGAACCTCAACCCCTCTGAAATATATGGATTAAGCTTAAAAGCCAGGTTCATTTCAGGAAACCAACATCCATTAATTGAGCTCTACCAATTCTGCCAAGAAGAGTGAGCAATTAAGAAAGAAAATTTAAAAAAGCAATATTGCCTACCAGCAAATTAATGACATGCTGTTTATAGAAAAGTTAGGAACTGATACTCACATTTAGTTCTTACAGTTCCAGACACACTTATCCTCCAGGTACTCGGATAGATGTCCTTGTTTCTTCTGAAAGATTCTGTTACACCATTTGCATATTGTTCTTGATCATTCAACTCAAAATCTCTGGGAAGAAAACAGGGAAGTGGAAGAGAACGTAGCAATGAGGCTAGAATGGAATTGTAAATGATGCCAAGATAGTTTTTTGTGGTTTAGAGTGAAAGACAAATTAGCACGGCTTTCTCTTTATGAAAGAAAAACATGTGAGGAATGTTTAGGAGACTGCAGTTTCTACAGAGTGGAAAACCACACCACAGAGACAGCTGGAGAGAGCCTTTGCTTTCATAATTGCAGCTACAACTTCACCTGAACACTTGATTAAAGGAAATATATTCTACCCCTTCTTCATATGAAGCAGATATTCATGTAATGTCTGGAATCTCCATGGATAAACAGACAGTGGTCAAGGCCAGCTGTGAGGTACTTGCACAAAGCGCCACACTCACATGCTCTCCCTGGCATTCAGCCGGCAGAAATAAACAGTTTCCTTTCATTTTTCCTCAAGACATTTCTCAGTCCAACAGAAGGTCCAGAGTTTCAGACAGAATACATCTTCTGATTCCAGATGTATAATGTAGTGCAGAGGGTGTAGTATTACATTCCTCAGACCTAAAGCAGAAGTATAGCCGAACCCTTCACATGCCTGCTGCTTCTTGGTTTGGACCTCTGCAGAGAATCCCTCCTGCTCTCCATTTTCCTTTGATATGGGTTAAACACTGGGCAGTCTGACAGAAGACAACTGAGGAAGAAAGGAAATGAGAAAGCCTGGAGGAGACAGTGTAAGTCAGGGAGGGACAGAAGAAAGGTGAAAGACAGACTTAGTCTCCTAAAAGCTCCCAGTGGTTAAAATAGAAAGGAAGGGGCCAAAGACGAGGGGGCTGGATTTCTGCGGCTCTCTGATTCTGGGTCATAAAAGTGTGCTAGTATCTGTGCGTATGTTTATGTGCATGACAGAGTAGGAAGTGGGATGGCTCGAACTTTAAAATTCATTAGCAGATACTGTACATTCAGTAAATGTTTTCCTGAACGCTTTGTGTCTCCGTTTGTGACACATTGTGTCTGTGGGTGTGCTTGGTTGTGTGAAAAAAGAGAAAAAAGCGTTTGAGAAAGAGCAAAGAAACTCTGAATAGCCTCGAGGGGGTTTTCCTCTGAAAGGGAATGCTTTTCTCCACCCCCTCACAGACACCCTCTACTTCGATCTCTCTCTCTTTCTCTGTCTCACTCCCAAACACTCAGAGTGGCCGTAGAAGCGAAACAGACTTAAAAGAAGAGAAAAAGAATCAACGGGCAGCTCGACAATTTGCGTCTCTCTCTGTGCCACACACTCAGACTTGGGGAAGGTCTGCGAAGAATGGAACTGACTTTACTTACTTTTGAAACAGAGCAACTCACTGTCATGTGGATGTACTTCAGCCAACTTCTACTGCTGATGAACTAAACATGGCAAGTTCTTCTGCACAAAGCCAAAGGAGGCTGTCTGGAGAGGATTACCGGGGCCAAAAAATGACAAAACCTTCTGCTTTGTAGAGGAGAAGCTCCTGCAAACATGGTAAAGTAACACCAAGTTTCCCTCCCGGGTATCCTTATTGTCCATTGTTACTTTCTGGTTTAAGATTTAAACTGCTCCACTGACCCAGTAACTCAGAGTCTGATTTCTGGTCTGGACAAGTGAACAAGTGAATTTCTTTCTGTGACTTTGCCAGCTATGTGTACGTGTGTGTGTGTGTGGGCTACTGGAAGCCTGATACATTGGTTTACACGCAGGGCATCATTTGACCTTCTTTCAACTTTTGTTTTCTAGTTGGAGAGTTCTGTGCACGGTAATGATGCACACTTTTTGCTCTCGTCTTTTATGAAACTTTATCTTTGTAACACACAAAGGGAGTACAAAACCCAATGTGAGTGCTCTCTCCAAAGCTTTTTGTAATCCCGAGCACAGTTGGTGGGACCGTTTCACATCAACAGCCAGCAGCATCTCAAGCTTTTTAAGTGTGTGCACACCAACAAAGAGAGAGTGACAGAGAGAGGCGCATTGTCGTTTGTCTCGCATCCTTAAGTCCTTTGATTCGGACTTAATTGATGCGGACGGCACACATACTTGAGTGAGTGGAGAGTGTTTCGATGTATAAATTATTTTACTGCTTTGCATGCGCACAAAATGGAATTCTCCAGTTCAGCGGTCGGCTCTTTAAAAAGTTCAAACCGTAGAGCTTTTAAAGATAGGAGGGGACTAATCTAATCCCAGTCACAACAGAATGTAATTAATTACGATGAGTAAGCCACAAGATGGGGAACACTGATGGTGGATTTGTGGGAGGATGTGGTTTCTTTCAACTTTTATTTACGTATTGCTGCTGCTATTAAATTTGTTTTTAAAAAAGGAAAGAAAAATCCCTAAATGCTTGCTTGCAGCATGGCTTTTATTTTTGGTAAACTGGAATATATTTAGTCAGTCTCACATTTATCCTTTATATTTATGGAATATACTTTTATTTCTTACATGGGAATCAGTCTGACCCATAACATCTGCCCAAGCTTAAGTGATAGCTTTACAGCAGGAAGGAAGGATGTTTAAAGAAGTACAAACTTGACTGCGAATGGCGGCCACCACTGTACTTTGCCCCCACTTCACTGCAGCGCTAGTTTGACCAGCTTTCAAAGACGTAACTGTTTGTTTTACTTAATGCCTGACTGATGCCATGAGCCTGCAGAGTCTCACTTATTAAACTGCTGCACTGTGCAAGACCTACTGTGTTTAAACTCTCTACAATATTACAAAAGCCCAACTCGTGGCATGCTGGTGTGCAATGTATTTGCATTTAGTTACTCATGAAAAGCACAACCAAGAGTCACTTATTAACTATCAAGGTCAAGAACTTTCCTCTTGAGGCCTCACAGAATCATGTGTTATGTGTTCCTTTAGTGTACAGTAAACACAGTTACCTACTGCGGGACAGACAATATTTTCAATTGTCAGTTGAAGTGATAAAATTGTATTTAAAATATATGCAAATTATGAAAGTGCAGATGAGAGTTCCACTTGGGCTTTGGACTTGCTCTCGTCTTATAAAAACATATTTAGAGGCAGCAGGTGAGCAGACTTTCTACGAAACAGTAACAGTTGCAGAAGAGTAGCTAACAAGAATAAGCAAACAATGACAGGTTTAGCTTTCACAAGAGAAAAAAATTATGCCTCTTTTCACTAAATATTTTATTAATATAGTTGCTTTAGTTGTCTGCCGTTGCTGTTGTGCTGTGCTGGTAGAGACAATTGATTTATCTGAGTTCTTATGGGTTTTTTTTATTTTGGGGGCGTTAAAACAATCAAATACTCACGAGGGCATTTATACTGGAAGGAAATAGTTCCGTTGTGGGCTATTAAAATATAACAGTGCAATGAATGATGCTCATTGCAATGTTCCATAAACCTACAGGAAACTGCAGAATTTGGTGTTTATTCACTGTTGGTTTGGCAAAATAAACAACCACAAGTTACTGGCTCTGCTCCAGGCGTTTAAGTCTATATAATATATCCACAACTTTCAGATTTTCAGGATACTCAAAAGTGCTGATTTATCAGAGTGCCACAAGCATGTACATCATCTCAAACCCTGTGGAAATGCAATGCGAGTGTCCAGATTTTGATTGATTGGCAGAAAACTGGACTTGGATTTCCTGGGTCACTCCCCCCTTTAAATTAGCTAATACTGCACACTGCTCAAGTTGATTTAAATTTTTGCCAAGTCTCTGCTGAGGCTGACTGGGAAAATGAACTCATTTGATTTATGAAGAAATTATGGATAATCACAGACATCTGCCATTTGGAACTGTATGATCCAAACAGATTTCATTTTGCTTCAGTCAGCACGTCAAGGCTCTGAGAGTTGTCGTGAAGCTGTGGACTGAATTTTCAGTGTGTCTATCATCTCTGTATCACAAAAGTGGGTCAGATGCAACAGAGGCTTTGCACTTGTATTTCCAAAACAGAGCCCCAGCCAAGTGTTCAAGGAAAAATGTCAGTGCCTCGGCTGTTTGCAGGCCAGCTTTCATCAGGCATTGTCTCTAGAAAAGTTTGTTTTTGCAACATTGCCATTTCCTCCCCAATCTGTGGCTTTCCAGTTGCATGAATTAATTTTAAATGCAGTTTGTTAACGGTACAGAAAAAAAATACAGATTGCACTTCCTCTGTTTGACTTACATTTCTTTGAACTCGCAGAAGACCCTCATGCTACCTTGCAAGAATGAAGAGCAGCAGATGTTACTGCACTGCACTCCTAATACGCAAGCTCACAGACATAGAAATCCAGATTGTCACATGGCTTAATACATTTTACAACACTTCTTCTAACAGTACAAGTACCTTTTCCACACTGGGAGCCAGTATGTTGTGTTGCACTGTCTAAATACTAGATAAATTGAATTTTATGTTCGATATTTTGAAGCCAGGATCGGCTTCAGGAAAAAGGCTCAGATCCAGAAGGTTTTGCTTAGTCATGTTAAATGGGAGCGGTTCATGAATGAATCAGCTGTGGTGACATTGTGCCAGAAAAAAAGTCCCTGTGTGAACCTTTCAATCATAGATGTATTTTTTGGTTCGCTTGTTTTTACACAGGGCTTTTTACACTGCTGTATGTCTTTACTGGTCATGGGAAGTCTGTGCTGTCTGATCTTGTGGTGGCATGAAAGAAAAAGAGAAACTATGTCATATGGCGCACTTTAAAGCATCCAGGTTTATCCTTAGATCAGATAAGGATTTTGAAACGCGGATTTATGATTTCAGCAGAGATGACGGCATAGATTTACGTAGGATTCAAACACAGTTGGTTCATTGTCCTACGATATAAGCAAATATTTTCAGCATGACGGCCTGCAGCAGTGCTGTTTTGACACTTCACGTTATAAGCTGTTGGACTTGTTCATTCTTATATTATTTGCAGATTAAGGTTCAATTAATGGATTATCTGTGAAAGCTCTCCCACGTTCTGTGGAAACTTGCCAGTGTTCAATACTACAGCACCATGAGTAAGGACTGGAAATCTGATACACTCTTTATTGAACTACAAAATGAACAAATGTATTTATGGGACTCTACATTAGCGGAAGAAACAAAGCGATGTAGTAATTTTGTCTCATGTGGGATTTTTCATCTTAAAAGGCTTTAAGATGGCTTATCCGTGGGAGCCCTCTGCTGAGTTATAAAGGCTTAGAGCACACACAGAGGCAGTTCTGTCTCATCACCAAACAGACAGAAGGAAATAGTAGAAAAGGAGGGGGAGTAGCTCAGAGACACTGGGAACATGGTTTTCATTAAGACATGACTAACACTCATTTTGATGATGATGGCTCGAAGTCAAAAGATCGTTTTTATTTTGGGTTCCGTGTGAAAGTAGTCAGAGTAAAGCGTACGCTGCAAAACGCAATTGTTTTCGAACCGTGAAATAAAGAGAAAGGAAGATGACACCTGCATATGAAGCTGACTCACTTTAGCTCTACTATGTGCTGTGTTTTTTCTTTCCATGACAACATTTCTTCAGTTGACATGTCACAGGCGCTCAGCCTACTGTGTCCACGCTGTTTTTGTCTTTTCTCATGGCTGAGTTGGTGGTGTGTCATCTCTCAGGTACAAGACTAAACGTGCAGAATTCAGGCAGTTGTCAGGAAATACTGGACAGTCTTAACTGTCACTTTTGGTTATGTTTTGGGTTTACCCTGGAGGTGCAGTGACGGCCGATCTCTTATGAGGAGTTCAAGAAAATGTGATGAACAGTCAGAAAGGAAAACATAAACCAAACTCTTTCAACATGTCGCATCAAAAGCTGCGCCAGTTTAGTAAAGGTTAATCTCCATCACAATTACATCTTTTGACCCATATAGCTGATGACAATGCAGTACTCACCTTGACAGGTTGTTTATGCAGTAGCTCAGTTCTCGACCAAGACTTTTGTAAGCCCCAGCCTGAGGCAATATGGTGAAACCTGCCATAATGCTTGCTATTCTCTATACAAAACACTGAAAAAAAAAAAAAAACTCCTAAGGGGCAGTAGACAAGACAAAGAAAGAGCTAACCTTTATAACAAATGCCTCTTGTCCATGTGGTTAGGTCAGCTCAGGTCAAACAATGACCTTTGTTGTAGACTGAAGCTCTTTCTAGAGTTAAATCGCAGGCTGCAATGGACAATTATCACAAGATAGGAAATCCCCTTGTCTAGAAAATGCAGGAGAGGCAGTGTTGGAATGTTTTCAGCTGGCCACGGACCAAAAACAACAATCTCAAAATGAAAGTTCAGGATTTAAGCTTGACTGAATACCCTTCACTGGCTGATTCTGGAAATAAAATATATCTTGGTGGAAAAGCAAAGACGCTTTATGGTCATATGAGCTGGTTACTGTACACTGATAGATGGTGGAGAGAAAGAAAAATGCCATAATGATGCATGAAAGAGACTCTGCCTGGATATTTAAAACAGACTGAAGGAACAGATATGAGTCTATTGTGATGCCAGGAAGGTGACACAAAGAGCGTACTAAACAGGAAAGAGACAGTAGAAAATAAACTCGAAACATGAGGATGTTGATTAAAAGCAGTGTAGCTGAAAACTGGCTTCTATGTAAACTAAAGCAACGGATACACAAGCATGTTCAATAATGCAATTTAGTGAGTTGGTGCAACATAGAAAATGCATGGCTGTCCCTCTATTGAGGTTTGACCCACCACACCTTTGGATGCATGGATCGATGGTTGTTTAACTATCATTATATTGAAAAAGATTATACTAGCATATGCTGCTGTGACTGCAACTTACGATTATGACTTCATTATTGTAATAATAATGTTTTCCAATACCACACACAGACACATTTTGCTTTGTTTGACAGATATTAATGATGAGTCTTTCACAGTTCAGACCTGTTTAGAACATTTTCTGGCACCGGTAGGCACACATACCAGTACGAGCAACACAGCACTAGAAGTGAGTTGACTCGCTAGCCAGTCTGAACTGGTTCCAGCTGAGCTATGCTTAGTAAATCTTAAAATTGTCTCTCTCATGCAAATATTGCTAGCCAAACCACCCATAGAGATGACTTCCAGTCAGGGAAGTTTTCTTTTTTAGCTGGTGTTAACAAAAACAGAGGTTTATTTCTCAATTCAACAGAAGGGACTTGGAAGGATTCAGTTGCAGTGAGGAAATGATTTAAAGTCGCATTACACAACAGTGGATGAACTCTATTAAATTTGTGGAATATAACCTGAAATCTAACATCTACATAAGAAAGAGCACACGTGCAAAACTGCACCAATTCAAATAAAGCCCTCCCTGAGAACCTGAAGTCCTCAACTCTGCAAAGTAAGTTCAGGGAGCCGTGCTTTATTAGACAGGACCACAGGTTTACTGTTAACTAACAGAAATACAGTAGTGGCTGCAGTCAGTCTAAAACAGCTGTGATGCATTACCATTTCAGAGCCTTCCTAAGAGGTATTCTGCTCTCCATTTCATGATCTGTTGTGACAGATGTGCACAATCAGAAAAGCATTCTTTTCTACTTAGGGAATGCAAAGGCTCCATAGACTCAGAGCACTGTGAATGGTCAAATATTGGTATTGATTTACATCCAGAAATCTTGTCATGAATCCAGTAGATCAACATTAGCTCATTTCACAGACATTTCAGTCACTTTGTATTCACTATGTATGTGCAATCCTGTTTTGTGAATGCAAAGACTAAACAGAGTTGAAAGATTTACTGAAATACCAAATGGATTATAAACAGCTGGAATTTTATGACATTTGCATGTTTTATGTCCAAGTTGCTCGCAAGTATCTGCATCTGCCAAATGGTCCCAGTGTAAACCAGTGTGAGGTCTTTGAAGCTCCTGCACTTGTGTTTACACTGAGCCGCTCTGGTCTTGGTCGGGCCATCAACCTAAATGAGGAAGGGGCTAAAAAACAGAGTCCTTTGTAGGCTGGGAGATTAACACAGCAGGCTACTGACAAGTGATTGTGTGAATAACATACCTGCTGTGATTAGCGACTGATATCTATGCAGATTCAAAAGAAGTCCTTATATTCAAATATCAACTCGGTATGAATATTATGGCTTTCCTTTTCATTACCAAACATTGATTTGGTTCTAGGATAGGATAGAAGAATAATTGTACATTTCACCTCTATCTGGCATGAGATAAGACTGTGAAGAGCACTATATTTAATAATCTTGAGACACTATAAAAATATTACATTGTATTTCATGGGGTTTCCAGCCAAGTTAGCAATGTGGAAATCAATGCTGGTCAGCCTCCCCAAGTGGTTTTCACTTTTGAAGTTCTCATTTTTCAGTCAGATGCATATGTCAGTGTATCCAAAGTGTTCCCTCGATGCTTCCCAAGAATTTGGCAATCACGTGACTTTTCTTCTTTCATCTCCTAGAGGTTCACATTGCTGCACCTTTTATAACATGCTAGAGGAACTTCACTTTTGTCCAGCACTCTGGTTAATGACCAGGTGATACAGCTGCTCTGTATATAATAATATAATAATAGCATAATATATTAATATTTAATATACAATAATAGTCTTTTCTTTTACAAACTTATTTTACTTTATTTATATATTGTGCTACATGTAAATGTTACATCTGTGCACAAAACTCTGGATTCATTTTCATGCAGCTGGTGTACTTATACATCAAACCAACAGTAGAATATCTGCAGTACCAAACACTGTTGTACTAAGCCAGGGGTCAGCAACCTTTCACATCCAAAGAGCCATTTG